TAATTCATTTTCAGTTCAGGGTTGTAGTTCATTTAAAGATACACATAGATGAGGTTGTGGTTGTAAAATTTGACTTCAAAATATTATAATGGGCAAGAAATATTTGTGTGGCTTAAACAGAACTGCAGATACTGTCATCATAATCAGTGAGCTCAGGATCATAAAGCATTCAGTCTTTTGGAATGAGCAGAGAGAAGTGTTTGAAAGAAACAAAAAAAAAGTTGTCATCTTTATCGAAAGATTTTCTTCAGTCTGAGTTTTAATTTTAAATAAAAATGTAACTCAGAACATCGGAGACAACATTGGAAGACTCTAATTTGCCCTTATCCTTGTCGAAGAATATAAACTATGAATTGTACACAGATTATATATATCATGTCACACCCTGGATTGCTTCTTATCAAAAGAAAATTAAAATACCCTCAGCTCCCACTATTCCCTTGGTTCTACATCCATGGGTTCTAGATTCAACTAAGTGTGAATTGAAAAAAATTGGAAGGGAAAACTATAACAAAAATAAAATACAAATTAAAAAATATAGTATGACTATTTATATAACATTTATGTTATATTAGGTATTATTAGTAATATAGAGGTGATTTAAAGTGTATCAGAGAATAGGAGTTATTTGCAGATATTACATTTGGTACTTATGCTAGTTTATATAAGGGACTGGACCATCCCTGGATGGTATCCGAGGGGATACCGAAGGATGACTACCTAAGTATGTGGTCGCTGAAAGTTATAATAGATGATAAGAGTAATTAGTAGTAACATGTAGTCATAGTAATTGGTAGTTTACTAAATATCTATCATATGTACATTTTTTTGTTTTCGTGTTTGCTTCTGCTATAAAAAGCATGTGTGCTCTCCAGAGACAGACAGAGAGTAAAAGTGAGAAATCACTCCCCAGGGGGGATGATCATACCGTAATCCCTTTTTCTTGACTCTCCTTTTGGGATCTTGGGCATGTATGCGCATACATATGCCTGGTGTGATTTTTTAAGTTGCTGGGTTGAAGATTCGAGCCACTCGTGGGCCATGTGGGATCCAGCACCTTAACCTCTATGCCACCTGCTGGCCCTATGTACATTTATTTTAAGCTACTCCAAAGTGAATTGGCTTCATTCATAGATAGAAATTGAGAGATTTTATTTCTTGTTTAGGAAGGAGTAAATGACATCGTGGTATATTGAACTTTACTTAGGAATATAGTACTAAGTACTTTGTGGGGTAGCATCTTGAAGTGATTTGGATCTAATACAGATTTATATGAAAAAGTCTTGCTCTTCTCGTAGGGAAAAAAGGTGAAAAAATATAAATTTAATAATATCATTGCTTCTCTTTCACTAAACCATTCTTAAATTCCAAAAGATTGGCTTGAGTAGTAAATCAGTGCTTGGATAGTAAATTAAATGTGGAAAATTTATCTAATATAATGGACAGAAGCTTCTTAAATAGGTCTTTTAGTGGTTTTATATTAAAGCTAAACCAAATACTTGATGTTCTACATTTGTGCTAAATATTATAACCATTTTTGAAGGGCCCTAGATCCTATTCTTCTAGTTTTCTTCTCCTTTCTTTAGTAAATTCAGATGCCAGTAATACTTACTTGGTATCTGAATTACATTGTACTAAACCAAAGGGAAATATTTTGCCTGATTAATTTATTTTTGTGTGTTTTGACATATTCTGAGGTTTTGAAGAATACACATTTGTTCCCTGTAATTTATGGCAGTTAATTTCTATTAATCTGCTGTGCGTCCTTTCTTTTACTCATGTCATATTATTGACTTTAAGACATGTAAAGTATGTTCCTCTAAGCAACAAAGTTGAACGTGTGATTGTTTAAATTATAAAAATAAAAGTAAAAACACTTAATATACTTAATATTTTGTGTTTGCAATCCTTATCCTAACACTATCAATTCATAATGTGAATTTTAATTGTTAGATTTTTATGAGACAATGAAGAAAGTAATAACTCTATTTTGTGTTTTCTTCTTTATTTTTTTTAAATTTTTTATTTTTTGGAGAGGTTTTCGCTATAGGGCACGTGCACTCGCCAGATAGAGAGAGACAGACAGAAAGCGAGAAATCACCCCCTAGGGGGGATGGTCACGCCACAATCCCTTCTCCTCTCAAGATCTTGGGCACGCACGCACACGCGCCCGGCGTGAGTTCTAAGCCACCGGGTCCGGGACGCGAACCGTGGTCGACTACGTGGGAGTCCAGCGACATAGCCATTACGCTAACTGCTGGTTCCCCTATTTTGTGTTTTGATTTTAAATGCTTTTGCACCATAAACTGTTCTTTGCTCCTATTCATGCAGGCTAATTTTAATAAGAGGGAACTGTAATAGATGACGAATTTATTCAAATACATATTCCTGTATGTCTTATATATACATATGTATTTATAAAATCAATGTGTGTTTATGTATGTGTGTGTTGTATTTCAGATAGAAATGTCCGTACCTGTTGATTGCATTAAGCATTTGGTATCGCCTAATGAGGAATGGAGAAGGTGCTGCCATATTGTCTAAGTGGATCATTTCTCCTCTGTAAACTGCATACATTCTACTTTTTTGTATTCTGTGACCTTGCAGTCAATGACTTCAGCCCAAAATAGTTTCAAAGTCATGTAAATGAATGCAATTAAGGTATTGCTTATCATCTTACATAGTTCAGATGGAACCTTATTGGATAGAGAAGTTTGTTTGCTTTATGAGGAAGGTCAAAATAAGGTTAAATTTTATTACATAAAATGATTTGGTAATTATTTTTTATATAGCTGCTGAAAAAGTGTCCTAATAGGAAATGATCTTTTTTTTTTTTTTTTCCCCTTTAAATCACCCAAAGAATACTTTGGGTTTTTCTGTTTGCTTGCTTTTTTTTTTTTTTTTTTTCCCCTCTCTGTAATACTAATAAAATATTTTTTTAAAGAGTTGCCTTCTATCAACTAAGATCTCTGGAACATTCTGCCCTTAGTTATGATCCTTGGTATCGTTGATTTATACAAATAGGTGATACTCCCTGCTGCTGCTGAAAGGTAGCTTTAAAGTCACCGATGGAGATGATGTCCAGTTACTGTGCCAGTTGTTATAGAACCTCAAGGAGCAGAGCTTGAGTCCTAACCCACATAGGCACAAAGGACACTTGCCATAGTCTGTAAGGGTTGGGAGAACATTGATACTATAGATAGAAGAGTCTCCCTGATAAGGTCCTGCAAGTCAGTGAGTAAGTGTGTGTGTATGTATGTGTGTGAAGGAAATAAAAGAAAGGCAAATATTTTTCATTGTAGTTTGCTCCTATAATTACCTTCTTTCCTTTTGTGGTATTATATTAGGTTGTTGGAAAAGTCATGATGTATTTTTTTGTTTTTCTATGCAAAAATGCATCATGACTTTTGCAATGACCCAGTGTTTACTTAAACAAGATACATTAGTTAATAAAGGCTTTAGAATTCAATGATTCATTTAGTAAACATTCATGAACTGTAAATATGTGCCTCGTGCAGAAGAAGCTTTAGGAGATTCAAAGATGAATGAAGAGACCCAGCAGTGATGGCACACACTGATGTCTGCAGATTAGGACCACATCAGAGGACTAGGTTCGATCCCCAGTCCAACCCGAAGGCCGGGTACAGTGTTGTGCACCTATACCCCAACCTCATTGATTCAGAGAGGCTGAGGCAGAAAAAGTACAGGCTTAAAGCAAGCCTGAGCAACATAGTGAAACCTGATCTAAGAAAGAGCTGGGTTTGGTAATGCATGCCTTTAGTCCCTGCTGGGAAATTGATGCAGGAGGATCACAACAGAGTATGACCCTCTCTTTGAAAAGAAAAAGTAAAAAGAAACATGATGAATGGAAGGCTTACAATCATAGGGGAAATAACAGATAAAGTGTGTGTAAGGTCAGCATAGTAATTGAAGACCCTGCTTGGCTTGGATGTTGGGGAAGCATCACTTTAAAAAAATTGAGGGGACAGTGAGTGGCATGGTGTTTGAGGCACCGGACTCCCACATAGTCGACTGTGGTTTGAATCCTGGACCTGGCGACCTGAAACTTATGCTGCGTGCTTGTTGTGTGCATGCTCTGAATCCCAAGAGAGTGAAGGAGAGGGGATTGTGGCCATCCCGTTTGGCGGATAATTTTTCAACTTTTCCTCTTTCCATCTCTCTCTGTCTCTCTGGTGAGCACATGTACCCTATAGCAAAAATCTGCCTCCCCACCAATAAAAACAAATTTGGTGCCTGTATATGGTTTTAGGGAATTGGAAGGCTCAGGGAAAAGTGAACTGACAATGAAAAAAAGCTATTTCACTTGAGGAGGTTAAGATTCAGGTTTATGAATTTATTTTCAGTCAAAGCTATAACCGTTGACAATTGATCATAGGTTATGCACTTCTGCCAGCCTTATTGTCCATAGGACTCTTGGCTTCGCTGAAATTTCCTGTCACCATAGTCTTAAAGTATAGGTTATGTTTCTTACTAACCCAAAACTTTCATCTACCCATGTCTTCCTGAAAAGTGTAAACTTTTCCACATGTCAATGTCATTCTATATATCCAGGATGATTCTTATTCTGACTTTAACATTTTCTGTTCCCAGTGGTTGGATAAGAAATGAAGTGTTTCAGACTCTGCCACAACTATCAAATAATTCTAATACTTTTTCTCCCAGGGGGCTTAAACAGAATTCCTCTTTATCCTTGGCATTAATTTCTCACATCCTTGATTATAGGTGGCAGCCTTTACAGTAGTTTAAAGACAGATAGGGAGTATGTTTTGGTAAATAATTCTGTAATGTGTTTTTTTTGTTTGTTTTTTTTTTTTTTAAATATCAGCTATAGTCAACAACTCTACTCAAGGAAAGCATATATAATAGAATCCTATTTATCTGGCAATACATACCTTGTTTTTGAGAGGATTTATTTTTTTCAGTAGTTTAACACTTGTAAAACATGCTATTGAAATTGAGATAAAGTGCACTTAAAGTAATAGTTATTTTTCTTAATTTTCAGGGAGTGTTTGGATTGTAAGCTATTTCGGAACTCTTCTTAGGACTCATTATTTTAACATTGGAAGAAACACATGCAGAAGGTATTGTATTATGTCTCATTGCATAATTTAAAAAAATGTAATTAAGGCTTTCCATTGATAGAAAAGGATGATTATTATGCTATATTGTGTTTATTTTTCTTTAGCTTTTAGATACCGATAAACTAGTTTGATGTTAGTACAGAAAAGAGGGATATATTTCAGTCTTGATAAATTTGAATTTTATGTAAGCGAGTTAAATATCTAGTTTGAATCAAACCAGTTTTGCCCATTTTAAATATCTGAGGTGTTTACATTTTACTTCTTCAGTATAGAATTATTTTAAAGAGTGTCCTGATTCAAAATGAGATACAAAAAATTCCCATCCATCTAAGACACTGTGAAGTGTATAATGTATATTAAACATTCAGTGGCCTTAAAGACCTTCCTGCCTGTGACAGCCCTACCTGGTAGTGTAGGGATCAGGTGCCATCTGTATTTCCATCAGTCTGTCGTCAGGATCCATAGATGTACTCACCCAGGCCACCTGGCTCTGCTTCTGAACATCCATCTGCTTGGTTTCCTCTTTGCATTATCACATATGGTTGGGTTGGTTTACCATAATAATTCATCTACTTGTAGACCTAGAGTCTCAGGACATGTAACATAGTACCGGAAAGAAATAATGTTATTGGTAATGAGAAAGAAGACGATCATTAGTTAAGGAACTTACCTGCTTTGTGCTTTTGTCTTTTGCATTCTTGTCTCTGTCCATTTCTGCTGCTATCACAAAATACCATAGACTAGGTGGCTTATAGATGACAGTAGACATTTATTTCTCTCATTTCTGGAAGCTGGGAAGTCCAAGATTGAGGTGTCAGCAAATTCAGTGTTAGCTGAAGTCACACTCTCTCCTAGATGGCTGTCTTCTCACTGTAATCTCACTTGGCACAAGGCATCAGGGAATTCCAGGGGCTTCTTTTATTAGGGCACTAATCTCATTCATGAGAACTCTGCCCTCTTCACTTACTACCTCTCAGAGGCCCCACCTACAAATACCCTCCCACTGGGGATTAGGTGGTAATGTATGAATTTTGGAGACACAAAATGTTCAGTCTGTAGTGTATTCCAAAGACCTCCATGTGGATATGGCACCCAGTTTGGCTTAGCTAGTGATGAGCATGGTCCCCTTGGTCCTGTATCCAGGGTTTCATTCTTAATGTTCAACTCTGTATCTTGCTTATGTCTTTTGTTTTTCATTTTAAAACTTTGTTCATGTTGGACGAAACAGGTGAAAGAAGGACACATAAATGACGTTGAAAATAATATGTCTGTTAAGATTGTAATCAATAGATTAACTTCTTTGAATATATACTTATTAACTTAATATTCATGCTTTATATTCACATGAAATAACACCAAAATTGGTTTTGCAAATTTCTTTTTTTAAAGCTTTTTATTCCTTCCATGAGGAAAAGAGGGGAAGGGTGAGAGAGACAGAGACAGCAACCTCAAAAGGATCCCTTTTTTTTTTTTTTTTTTTTTTTAAGTTGCTATAGGGTGTGTGTGCTTACCAGAGAAAGACAGACAGAGAGAGACAGAGAGGGAAAGTGAGAAAGCAACACCCAGGGGATAGCCACACTGAAATCCATTCTCCTTCATTCTCTTCTAGGATTTTAGATATATACACACATGAGCCTGAAGTGTTTTTCAAACCTCTGGGTCTATAGTCAGCCATATAGGATCCAGTGGCTTCACACCATTTCACACCATCACACCAAACGCCAGGCCCCCAATTGGATTTTGGTGCTATTATCTACCTGTATCCCCTAGCCAGCCCCAGGTCATGGGCACACATGTGCCTGGTGTACTCAGGGAAGTCTCTGAAATTGAATGGGGACTTCTCAGGTGAGATTGCCTGTCATATTTTACCACTATACTACCATTTGATCCTGGTTTTACAAATTCTTAATCATTCGTCAAGCAGTATAAATTTCTAGGATTGGATGGATATAGTTTTGGTTTCCCAGAACATTGTATTAATCTTTTGGAACAAAAGAAACTAAAAAACACCCTTGGTGCTCAGTGGTGGTACAGTGGTGATGCAGTGCTCTGCAAGGCTAGCCCATGGGGTGGCTTCCAGGTTTGTATCCGGAGACCCCCTCCTGCACATGCTCATGATCCCATGCTGGCTGGGACTGCGGTGGATAGCAGCATTTACACTCTGAGTGCCTTTCTTTTAGTCTGGAGTTTATCTTGGCATGAAGATCTTGTTGGGAGCACCTGTCTGTCTGTCTATCTGTCTTGCTTGCTGAGGAAATAAATAAATGAATTTAAAAACAAAACCCAAAAAACTTATGGCTGAATTTCAAATCCATGTGGATTCTAAACCTTGAGGACATGATTTCTTACAAATACATACATAGATACATACATACATACATACATACATACTCCTTTATGTTTAAGGTTGTTCATTACTGCAAAGCACCATTTTCTTTCCTCCTTCAGTCATAGGGAGAAAGTAAAATCAGATTGTTAAACTCAAGCAATTAAGACTGTTAAGGAACTTGTAAATAAACCATAAGTACTAGTTAAGTTCAGCTTTGTTACCTTTTACTATAAATACTTTTGTCAGTAAAAGAAATCATATGATGCAGAAACTGGATTTTGTGGCGTCTAGGATTAACTTTTTAAGTTGAGGATAAGAATTAGCTATTATAATTAATTATTTGAAGATATAAGTATTCGAGCATATTTATTAGAGAAATGTTTTATTTTTAAAGCCTTCATGAATATCCATTTACGAAATGGATAATTGTATATGCTTTCAAAAATGCAATATGCTGTCAAAAATGTAACTGTATATGCTTTCAAAAATGTGTATGCTTTCAAAATTAAGAGTATGTTTGAATAGAGTTTAGCTTTTTACTGTGAAACAGCAAAGAAATTAAGTTTAGTTGAAGTTAACAAATTCTCATAAATTTACAATAGGAAATGGTTTTAAGTAACTATTGAAACTAAAGGAGGTATTCAAAAATACATAGAAAATGTGCATTATGAAAAAACTATACATGTGTTTTAGTTTTTTTGAAAAGAAATTTATAATTTAATTCTATTTCTCCCACCAACTTTTAAAAATCTTCTCATAAATCATTATGTATAAGATATTTTTTTAATTTTTATTTATTTTTTATTAATTAATTTTTCCCAGCATGAGTACACTGTATGTTAGTCCAAAGAAATTACCATACGCATTATCATCAACAGATAGGTTTTTAGTTTTGTGTCCCTTATGTTTTGTTTCTTTTTTTTTCCCTTGATGTTCTTTAATTTTAAAAAAATCCTTTTTACTGATGTACAACTTCATATGATCATATGCTAGCTCAATAATATACATAAATACTAGGATTTTGGGAAAGGCGTGATGCATTATTGCATAGAAAAATACATCACGACTTTCCCAGCAACCAAGCACACCCTGGGTAACCAGCATCCTGCCCCGGATAGCATATTGGTGTATTTTCTAGTCAATACTGTGTCCACTCAGCAGAAACTAATCTTTGGCATCTTTTATTGGTTTGGGCTGTTTTTGCACTTTGGGATTACATCATATAAATCCTTTTTTTATTTTTTAAGTTTTGCTATAGGATGTATGTGTTCACTGAAGGAAGTCAGAGAGTGAGAGAGAGAGGTGGTCAGTAATCACCCCTTACAGAAGATGACCAAGCCATAATCTCTTCTCCATTCTCTCAGGATCTTGGGCACACATGCACATGCTCTTGGTGTGTCTTTCAAGCTCCCAGGTCCAGGACTGAAACCACACAGCTGGTCATGTGGGTTCCAGCAGCCTTCATTGTCCTACCACAGGCTGGCCCCGTAGGAATTCTTTTGTGTCTGATTTTTTTTTTTTTTTTGATTAACATATGTTTATGAAAGTCATCCATATGGTGTACATCTTTTGTTTTCTCTTCAAGTTATCTACATTCCATTGTATAGTGATAACGTCATTTTTAAAAAATGTTTATTTATTAAAATTTATTCATTTCTTCTGTGAGAGAGGGAAACAGAGAGAGAGTGGGACTGGAAGAACACAGCCACCTCCACAGGGTCTCAAGCCATGATGTATCCCTAGCTTTGCAGCCAGCTAGGAACATGGAAATGTGCACACATGCCCCGTGTATATACAGAGAGACCTTGGGATGAAAACTGAGGACCTTCCCATGTATCCTCAGCAAAGCAGAGCATTGAGTTATACCTGTACTACTTTAGTTGGCCATAAACCACCATTTACCTTTTCTACTGTAAACGGATATTGAGTATCTTTCTAGTTAGTGGCTGCGGATAAGACTGCTGTGAACTTCTTTGTATCTTTTGGTAGAAATAAGCATTCATTTTTGATGACTATATATACACACACGTGTGGCAACGCAGAGTGGTTTACCTTTGGAATAAAAGATACTTAAAAGTGTTTTTTAGCTTGTTTAGGAATGTCGATCAGTATGTCTTTTACTCATAATCAGTTTTATTATGAGACACATGAATGTTTCTTCAACTTAATATAAATTCTGAAATTGCTTTGTAAAAGTTATTCGAATTTTCCTGTCTCTTAAAAAAAAATAAATTGCATATTTTCTTATTCCATTGTAATATGTACTTGATTCAGAGAACCTGAATCTGTCTTAACCCTACTTAAGAAATTTAGGACATGGAACCCTCCTATTTATACTTTGGATTTTGAAGCAAATCAGATATATAATAAAGGCTTTTAAAAATATGTTGAAGTTTTAGATATTTCTTTGAATATTTAAAATAGTAGATACTCTTGAGTTAGAAAAAGCTTATTTCAGCATTTCTGATTTCTTGCAATCTTCGTGTTTGTATTCCACCTAGGTGAAATTATTCATTCTGGAGTATAAGGTTTTGACAAGTTTTAGTATAATCTCTTTTTTTTTTTTTTTGGATTTTTAACTATAGAGCAGAGCTGTTCAGTAGAAGTATAGTGTGAGCCATCTTATATAACTTTAAATTTTCTAATAGCTACATTAAACATGAGAAATAAA